GCCACGACAGCGTGAGCAGCGCTGCAGCCCAGAAGGCCGACGAGCACGCGTACCAGGGCGGCCGCGCCGGGTCCGGGAAGGCCACCATGAACTCGCGGAAGTCCACGTTCTTCAGGTGCATGCCCTCGCGCGCCTCCATGTAGTCATCCAGACCCTCGTTCTCCGCAAAGAAGCGCGCGCGCTGGCACAGGTACGCGTTCTCCGCCTCCACGCTGGCGAAGCTGAAGCACTTGGTGAATCGCAGCCGTGTGGCCGGCGCGCCCTCCAGCCCCACCAGCGCCTTGGACACGTCCCTGACGCCACAGCGCGCGTAGTCGAACTCTGCCTCAGCCACGTGCGTGTTGACGCGCTCGTGGTAGACCTGCGGGCGAGGGGGCTGGGGTCTCTGTCCAACCCCGCACACCCGAGGGCTGCTCTTCCTGCCTGATCACCTGCCCCTGAGCCTGTCCCACTCTGGGCACCCGCGAGATGTCACCATCTGTTTTACAACTGAATCCCGCAGCTTAACTAGTGCATTAAAAACAGGATGGCAGCGGAACCCAGTCCTACCTGTGTGTATTCTCATTTTCGTGGAACTCTGCTTTCCCTGGGGTTGGGTCCTAGCCACAGATTAGCTCCTGGGCTGGCCTGACCCTTGGCCACATGTACCTGCACTGTCCTGCTGCCCCTCAGCCACCATATTCCCCCTTCTGCCCTCTGACCAGTGTGTTTCCAGAGGAGCCCTCCTCCCCAGTCTCCCATTCAGGCCTCGGCTGCCTGCACAAGCACAGGCTTTGCCCACAGAGCAGGAGGTCACCACCTCTAGCAACATCTCCTCCTCTAGGACCCGGTGGGTCTAATCCTGGAAGGGCTAATGGCTCTGGGGAATGCCCCCCACAAGACTCCCCCACATCCACCTCTTGAGGGAGCCTTGGATGGGGCTCCAGAATCTAGGTGTGAGTCTAGCACTGCCACTCAGGAATTGCAGGCTTTGGGTAAGTCTCTGAGCCTAGGTTTCCTTACCTGTGAAAGGGAACCAGTGACCACTGCCTCACCCAAAAGGTGTGCGCATGTTGTAAGATGAGCCTGAGAAGCCTCCTGCAGCCTTTCAGTCCTAAACAGTCTACACTGGGAGCTATCACCTCCACATACAAGCAGTCTGACCTTGGACAAGTACTTAACTTCTCCATGATTCCGTTTCCTCATCTGTAAAATGGGGACAGTACCTATCTCATAGGTCATTAGGAGGATTAGATAAAGGGTGTCACGTGTGAAGTCCTGACGGCACGGCTCTGTCTGTGTCTGCTGCGGTGAGCTTATCGCTGACCTCCTGCACTCCCCCCATCCAAGCACCCGTTCCCATCTCGAGTGGCCGCTCACCTGGGTGGTGGTATAAGCGTCTCCATTGCGGTACCTGGTGACCTGGCGGGTGCGGCGGACATAGTGGTAGCTGATGGCCTTCCACCAGATGCAGGGCGTGGCTTGCTGCATGCGGCCCACACGCTCCCGCACACTGCTCACGTCCACACGGTGCTGCAGCTCATGGCGGGCCTGGCAGTGCCAACACTCCACCAAGTAGACAGCATACAGCATGAGCAGGAAGGCCAGGGGGATGTAGACGTAGCCGTTGGAGCAGGGGCTGTCATGGTACATGAGGCTGTTGCCCTGGTAGGCGCTGCTGAAGGTGAGGCGGGTCACTGTGGTGACGTGGCACCAGGCCACTGCCCCCAGGCAGCCGTACATGAGCAGCGACAGCAGGAGGCACTTCCAGTGGGACTCACGGCAGAGGGACTTGGTAAAAGAGGGCTGGATGGGACGCTGCTGCTCGGACAGGCAAGAAGGGACCAGGATGACCAGGAGTCGAGGCAGAGAAATGGATGCCGGATGGAGAGGCAGAAACAGAGATACAGGGATGGGGGAGAAAACATAGGCCGAGTTGGGAACCAGGGACCAGAGATAAACACAGACGTGACCCAGAGGGCAGGCATCATGAGGTTAGGAAAATGGACCAGAAAGCCAGGGCAGGAAAGTGCAAAGAAAGAGAAGGATGAGAGCCAGAGATGGATGCCCAGGAAGCAAAGACAGAGTTGGGTAGAATGGCACCCAGAGGGAGTCCAAAGATAGATGCAAAAGGTGGCAATGGGATGGGAGAAGGTGTAGATGGGGGAGAAGGGAGGACAGACAGACAGGCATCAGTGAAGGTAGGTCCCCAGCCCAGACCCCCTCCCGGTGTTCAAGGAAAGGGGGGAGGGACCTCGGAGATCACCTGCCCCTTAGCACATGAGGCCGGGCCTCCAGCACATACTTTCAGTCCCAGTTCCAGGAGCCACTCCCTTTTGACCCACCCACCTCCCTAACGCTCACACTGCCCCCCAATAGTTCCTCTTGAGGAGGAAGCCCGCCTAGCTCAGTCCCACATTCTGGAGCCCCATCCTCCCTCAATTCTTCCTGCTGAATCCTAACATCCTTTCCCCAAGTTCTAGAGCGGGAGGGAGGGGCTGAGGTCCCCAAGCAGAAGGCAGTTGGGGAGGGGGTTCCAAAAGGACAAAGGCATGTGGCTGGGGACAGGATGGAGGGCAGGGCAGGGGACAAAAGAACACGTTTGAAGTCCAGCCAATTGTCACAAGAACATCTCTGGTCCTCTCTTGGGGCCTGTCTCCTACAATGCTCGGCACACCCTGTCCCCCTGTTGGCCAGCTGAGTTGTTTACCGTCTGGCAGGGTCCATGCCTCACTCCCTGCATCCTGGGTGCTTCCCACGGTGCTGCCACCCAGCAGACACGAGGTATGTGCAGAGTTTGACTGCTCGAGGTGGCCTAAGTCTCCCTCCCCATGCATGCACTCAGACTCCTGCTGAGATCCTGATTTGTCCCTTCAATTCCTCAGGCCTGACCTAGAGGCGGTCCAGCAGAAGGGATTAGGTGGAAAGGCAGGCACAGAGACAGGCAGGAGCCCTGGATTTAACACCCAAATGAAGCTGGGACTGGAAGGAGCACCGTATGTCCACCCGGGAAGGGGACACGGGCGCCCTGCAGGAGCCCTGGGCTGAAGGGGCTCTGCCTGCAGGACCACCCTCTTGCCGGGTGTGCGGTGTGCAAGTGTGCAGTGTGCAGGAGAGGGGGATTCTGGTACTTTCCCCGGTCTCTTTGTCTCCAGTTTCAGAGTAGGAATAAGCTTAGCATCCACACTGAAGGGCTCTTGGGCTTAGGGCCCCTCGGGGGAACAGAAAGGAGGATGCACCTCCCGTGCTCCCAGCGACCTCGGGGGTCTGGCCTCTCGGCCCACCCGACCTTTGGTCCCCAGCCCAGGTGACACAGCCATCTCCCCGGACCCCTCCCAGTTCTGCAGCCCCCGCGTCCCTGCCAGAGGACTGACGGACCGACTCCTTCTAGCGCGGGCCCGGGGTCCACGAGGCCCCGCCCACGCCCCTCCC